CTCTTTTCCTCATTCTTTCATGGTTTCTGTATTTAATACGTTTTCGACACTTTGGCATCCAAGGTCAACAACTTGTGTGCTACAATCGGCTTTTCTTATTTTTAGGGTATTGTCACCGATTGGGGTTTTGTTAATGCTTGGATTTAAGCCGTGGTGATAGCTAGATTCTTTGATACTGAAAAATTAATTGAGGGGAAAACTGGTCACAAAAATAATAAAATATACTAACATTACAAAAAAATATAAACCCCATAAAAAAACACTGGTCCAATATCATTTTACCGTTGGGAGTGAATTTTATCAGTATCGATGAGGTTCGCATTTTGTGCTGGATAAGTTTGAATATTATAATTTGATAATTAGTACAATTTAATTAAGGAAGAACTGACACGTTTGGCAGCGGAGGAGAAAGAACGAGCAGCTGCACGTGAACGTGAGATAGAAATTGAGCGAAAAAGGCTAGCTGAGGAAATGGAGAGGGCGAAAAAGGAGGAAGTGGAAAGGGCACTGGAAGAAACCAGAAAGGCATGATTTTTGTTACAATTTTCATTTTTGACGATTCATTTTATCAGATAAATCTAAGTGCTGCTCTCTGTTTTTTCAAATATTTCCCCCTTTTTTTCAGAGGGAAGAACAACGCCAAAAAGCTGAATCGGAGAGGCGCATGAAGGAGGCCAATGAGCTGAAAAGACGCCAAGAGGAAGCGGAAGAATCGGCTCGAAAAGCTGCATTTGAGCAGGAACGCCTACGGCAACAAGCAGTAGCAGCAGCTGCTGCACGTGAGAAAGAAGGTGTTCAAAACAAATCCAAAAAAGCCAAGGGAGAGGTAAGTGTATTGGTAGTGTGATGTTCATTTCCATTTTTGTGCGTTTTTTGCTGTGTAACAACAGTACAAAACGTATATTGTCACGTGGTTGTCTGTGTGTGTTTGTGTGTGTGTGTGTGTGTGTGTGTGTGTGTCCCAAATTTTGTCCCGCACTTTCAACTCGGGAACCACAAAAGTTCGTCGGCTGAAATTTTAGTACAGTGCTCCCCACCAACGTGTTACGCGGCATATTTAAATTCAGCCTTCCCGCACCCGTGGTAACACATACGGCCCCGTGAAAGTTTCGGCATGTAAAATCATTATCTTGGGAACCACGGAAGTTAAGAAGCTGAAATTTTGCCCCTTTACCACGTGCGACCCAGAAAAATTAAATTCATTTTCCCGTGGGCATGGATATCGCGTACGGCCCTGTGAAAGTTTTAGCTGAAGATTATCTCGGGAGCCGTGAGAGCTAGAAAGCCGAAATTTTAAGACGATATTTTCTACCGCTGGAGGTATTTCACAAGCTCAAATTTCGCTCCCAAATTTGCAGAGGTCTTACGTATGACCGCGTGAGAACTGTGATGTGAAAGTCGCTAGTTTGGAAGCGGAAAAACTACAAAGTTGAAATTTTGGGGGTGTTCCCCATCCATGTTTTCAAGTTCAGCTTTCACGTACCGGCACGTGGAATTTTCAATGTGAAATTCCTAAACAGCTATATTTTTAATAGGCAAACGTCCGCTGGACGAAACTTCGCAAAACGCACGATCGCACCGGCTACCCTAGTGCGCTTCGCTGTTTATTTGTACTACATGTGTACGGTTTAGTTGAATGAATCTGCAATGGAGCCTACAGAGATCGTATTTATGCTGCTTTTGTGTTGTATTCACTTTCCGGAGTTGAGCGACTTGAGATTTTGACTTTTTTTCTGACAAAACTGGTTTCTTTTTTTTTAGAATGTTTCAAAAGAATTTGTCATTACGGAGCAATATCCTCCCGCGCTGAGGCAGAAATCAGTGCAAGATCCATCCGTAAATCGGCCGTTTTCCTGGCAGGCAACATATCGAAGTGGCGAAGAAAAATTCATATCACCGAAGGGTTTGTGATACTTCCGAACAACCGATCCCCAAGAACTCCTGGAGATTGTCTG